GAGTGAGTGAGGGACTTGCAAGCAAGCGAGTGAGTGAGGGACTTGCAAGCAAGCGAGTGAGTGAGGGACTTGCAAGCAAGCGAGTGAGTGAGGGAGTTGCTTGGTGCGGGAGTGATTTTTTTGTGTTTTTGTATCGACTAAAACATTAACTGATGTTCGAAGGAAAACCGAATGTGTTCGCATTTGTAGTAGAATGCATGTGACTCACGTCGGGGTATCTGTTGCTATGTGTTTTGTGAGAGATTGCCGTAGTAGAACCGCTTGTGGCCCAAAGTTTAGAACTCCTGAGGACCCTTTTGTTTTTTGTCTTCTCCTTCCTCATCCATTTTGGTTCGTTCATCATTCTTCATTCTTCATTCTTTATTCATCATCATTATCATCATCATGATGCTTTCCGTTTAATATGGTTTCTGAAATGCGGACGCCACGCTTCCACAAGGAAATAAAAAACATGCAAGATTAAAAAAAAGTAAATAAAGAGGGGGGTATGTATAGGTGCCCAAGGTTCTGTGATTGGCTGTTGTACTACTAGTTATTGACAGATATTACGTTTCCTTCGCTCCCGTTTTCTGGCGTCTTGGAGTTTCGATTTTTTCCGTTATTTTCCGATTTTTCCGTTATTTTCCGATTTTCGGCCATCGACGTTTTGTATCTGCGGCCCAGGTAGTGCAAGGATGCAGCCGTGTGTTCGTTTCTTTTTTTTTTTCCCTTCTTTTTTTCAAAAAAAAGATTTTTCTTTTAATCTCAGTGAATGGAGAAACCGCTAACGTGTTCAAGTTGTACTGATTTGATTCTAGTCGTCAGGATTTGAGCTCGTGCTCTCTTTGTTTCACTACCGTTACGCAGCTTGCGCTTTTGAATCCCAACGCTTGTGAAGGGGTTCGCCGCCTACGTTTTGTCTCTTCCTTCTCGTTCCGTTCATCACGATTGCAAGTTCCAACACACACATGCTTGCTCCTCTCTTGCTTGTCTGGCCTTTTTTTTTTTTTTTTTTTTTTTTTGTTCGCTCGTTGATGAACACTTAAGCAAGCTACCAAGCAAGCAAGCGCTTGAGTCTAACATCTCTTTCGAATCATCTTGTTGAACTTCGCTTGTTGTTCTCGTTGTCCATGTTCTTGTTCTTGCTGTTTTTTTTCAATCTTCTTCTTGTCGAAGTCTTCATCAATCTTCTTGTCGTATTTGTCGTCGTCGTCGTCGTCGTCGTTGTCGTTGGTTGTTGTTGTAGTAGTAGAGGTAGATCTCCATGCAATCAGCATAGCCAGGTGCGAAAACCCTTACAGCCAACGAAGGGGACGAATGTAGGTAGTAGGTAGAAGAAGGGGGATGGAGACAGACGCAAGAATTACAATCTCGCGAGCGCATCAGCTCGAAAATATTTAACAATAAGCGCACATAAAAATGTTGGCAGTAACCTCCATAACCACAGCAGCAAATAAAAAAGAAAAGAAAAAAAAAAGAGTGCAACTGACATTCAGCCGGTGTTGGTTGGTTGGCTGGTTGGTTGGTTGGTTGGTTGGTTGTTGTTGTTGTTTTTGCTGTGTGCACAACTGTACATCTCTTTGACTTTTTCTCTGCAGGAACGTCAGGCGGGTACGCACTCGACGAACGAACGTCAGAAGAGCACGTGAAGCACGACGCATTAGCGGCCGATAAGATTGATAGGCGTAGTTGGGTGTGCTTTCGCTGCTTTCTTGCTATCGTCGTCTGTCTTTCTGTCGAAAGAAAGGGAAAAAAAAAATGGCTCGTCTTCTGCTACTGGCGACCTTGGTCCTCGTCATCTCCGTCGTCATAGCGGCGAATGATCAAGATCAAGTCGACGTTCAGAAAATTGCTGACCTTAAGATTCCGTCGCCGGGATCAGCCTCTTCTACTTCTGCCGACGGCGCCGCCAAATCTGGAACTAGTCAGACTGCTGTTGTTGCAAGGGGTAGCATCAAGTATGCGTACAGTTGTTGGACAAACTCCATTCCTCAGGGTTCCAATAGCCTTTTCACCGTATCTGTGAGGCCAAACAAACTGTCTAGCTGCTTCACCGCCTGCGCGATCTACAAGAAGAATGGGTGCAAGGGGTTTGTATGGTCGCAGAAGTACTCGGCGTGCGTCCTGAAGAAGAAGGTGTCGAAGATTTACTACCCCTTTTATGGCTATGTCACCTGCTCCATCCGCTGGCTGTAAGCTGGTACCGCCGTAACACGATGGGCCCAAGCCGCCCAAGTCCCACAGTGTCCGGCTTGCAACTCTCTCTCTCTCTCCAATCGTTGATCTTCGTGATCTACGGCCAGAGATCCAGGTTTCCTGTAACGTGGTCGGGAACTCGGTTGTACACGCAATAGGTCATTAAGGCACGTGATGGATAGGTACTACTAAGTAGTGAAGCATTTTTGTAAGATACGTGGTAGAGGCGGGGGCAAGAAGTCTCGCACGTGTTTTACACTTGGGAATTTGCGCAAATTCTGGCTTTTTGTGTACATTTGTGTACGTACATTTCACTGCCACCTTGGAGATGGCGGCGGCATTATAACAAAAAAAAAAAAAGAAATGCCGCTGACTGACGGACAGTGTGTAGTACTGCTACTGCTGCTGCTGCTGCTGCTGCTGCTGAAATGGCGACAGCAACCCCGTTTATGCGTGCTGAAGGCTCGGCGGCATTATAACAAAAATAAAAGAAATGCCGCTGACTGACAGACAGTGTGTAGTACTGCTGCTTCTGCTGCTACTGCTCTGCTCCTGCTGCTGCTGCTGGTGCTGCTGCTTCTGCTGCTGAAGTGGCGACGCAACCTTGAGTATGTGACGGTAAAATGGTGGGCGCTTTCTGCAGAGTTGATTGCCTTCAAGTTGAAGAGAAGCAAGTTAACTTATGAGTGGAGATGTGACCGCAGTTGCATGTGGAGTCTAGTGGAGACGAGAGAGGGAGGCAGTTAAATGTGGAGAGGAGTGAGCTTGTAATAGGAATGAGAAGGGCGTTTGCCAACGTCCCTCGCTCAGAATACGAGCGACAGTCAGGTGTGCAGCAGTTGTCAGCTTGTAACTGAACTTGTGTAAAAGGAGAGAGAGAGAGAGAGAGAGAGAGAGAGAGAGAGAGAGAGAGAGAGAGAGAGAGAGAGAGAGAGAGAGAGAGAGGATGTTTAATGTTCTCTCGTAGTGACTGCGTGGTCCATATTGCCTCATTTCCATGGTAATCGTGTGTTTAGTAGTGAGGTATGATGTAGGCAGGGCCGAGTAGTTGTAGACGCTTCATAACTTCGTTCATCTCCTGCTCTCTTTCTTGGTTCGTCTTTCTCACGTGAATGGATATGTGGCTTTCGAAAGTTCTATATGGTATAAAGGTTCTAACACGGCGTCATCTCCCTGGCAATCGTTCTTTTTTTTTTTCTTTTTTTTTTTTCGTTCTGAGTTGTGAGGATATTGAGGAGATATTACGTTGCTATCGTCTGCAGTGTCTGCTCTCTCTCTCTCTCTCTCTCTCTCTCTCTCTCTCTCTCTCTCTCTCTCTGTGTCCTTTTTCTTCTTTTTCTTTGTGTTTTCTGGAAACCCGGATCGCTCTCTTGCTCGGCTCTTCTTTTCTGAACGAAAATGTGTTGCTTTCAAAGTAAAAAACAAAAAACGGTGTTGCTGTCAAAAAAAAAAGAAAAGAAGCGGTGTTGCTTTCAAAAAGTGAAAAATAAAAAAGCGGTGTTGTTTTCAAGTGAAATGCTCTTCAGAAGAGAAGGGCCGAGCGCCTCGCTCCGCTGCACAGCATCTGAAATGTGTGTGCACTTCGTTTAATCCCGATGCACTGGAAATGCGCTCTCAGTCCGAATGTATTCGGTGCAATTATCAGTCCACATACCTGTTGAACGTTTGAGTAGTCGATCGACGAGCATACACTTTATTTTATTTTACTGCATGGAAGAAATTTTGGATCGCTTATCGCCAAAACCGACTGCAGTTATCTTAAAACGAAGGGGAAAAAAAAAAAGCCTACTCCAATCTTTCTCTCTCACCTGTGCTCCTGGGGCTAGGTCCCACTACAGACGTTTTTCTGTTTTTTTTCCACTGCGCGGTTTGGTTTCCGATCGTGTGTGGCTGGCGATGACACATAGGGTCCGTCGAAGCTGGGGAATCTGAACGGCGGCGGTGATTTTTTTTATTTTTATTTTTTTTCAAGTCGGGAACCGAGCCCGGCGTCCCTTACAAAATTAGGTGGGGCGATTTCGAAGTGGCGAGTCCCAAACCTTTGTGTCCTCCAACGACTTTTCTACAAACGGTTTGAATTTTTTTTATTTTTTTTGTGGGGATTTTTTTTTTTTTTGTGTGGGTTGGGGGGGAGGAAAAAGAGAATAAAATTAAAGACCAACACTGAGGCCGGGAATATTATTTTGAGCATTTAGGAGTCCACGAGGATGTAATGTCATGGACGTGCAAAGGTGGGGGTGGTATTGCAACTTCGCTACAGTGCTATGTGTGCACAGAATGGCCGACAAAATCAAAACGAAGTCGTGTGTTCAACGTATATGGTCATAATGGTCTGACCGAGGCGACCTTCAGAGTATCCAGCCCATTGGCTGAGTGCAGCACGCCTCCAGAAAAAGAGGCGATGAAATCGATGGCTCCCATTCCATTGGCTGATGGGAGCACCCTAAGCTGAATTTGGCTTTCTTTGACTCCCAGAAAAAGGAGAGTTTTATTATTCTAAAAAAAATGCAGAAAACCATTTTTGAAATTCTAAAAGCAGGTCGCACAGCGTTTGGGTTGTATGATAAAATTGCCTTTTTTTTTTTTTTTTTTTTTTTTTTTTTAAACGTCTGTAGTGGAACCATTTTTTAATCTGGACGCGTTTGCTGAGATGTGCAGAGATGGTGTTGAGTTTCCTGAGCTGCACGTCTCCACAAAACACGTCCAGATTCAAGCGTTGAGGTAGCTCAACGCTGCTAGTGGGACTTGGCCCCAGGCGGGTGAAATCTTCGGGACTTATACGTTACCAACGGGCCTGGCTCAGTTGGTGCGCGCCTGGACGGTTGAAATGTAGACTCGTGTTCGAATCCCACTGCCAAAAGATGAACAGAATAATATAATACTCTGAATTGACTGGCGCCGATCAGAGAAATGATGATATCTCAAAGCTGTAAGCGAGTAGCACGCTTACAGCTTTGAAATATCATCATCGATGAGAAAGGCAGGCGCAGCTACTGGCAGGTCTCTAGATAGTCTTAGGAGTAGGTAATGGAAGGCAAAAGAAACAGAAGTTGAGAGAAGAGTTTAGAAAAAACGGAAAAAAGAAAAAAAGAAAAAAAAAAAGAAAAAGAATATGATGAAGGTGAGGAAAAAAAAAACAAAAACTTTTGTTGTGTTAGGAGCTGTTGTTGTACTTAAAGCTTTTCCTTTGGGTGAGAATATTGCTAGGCCAAGGCCCCGATGAGCCCCTGTTTGGCTCTGATATGCAGCACGTAGGGCCTGAGGCCCCCTATTTCGGCCACCGCGCAACTGAGGAAAATTCAGGCAAAATTCAGGCAGTTGCACAGCGCCAGTTGGTTGAAGAGCACCCAGGCCCAGGCTGCCTGTTAGCATGTATGGAAGGCAGGCCCTGGGCTGGATATGGGATATGGGCCAAACACAGGCCGAGGACAGTTGAGGACAAGTAACTACCACAGGCCCTGGGCCTGATTCGTTTGGACTGGGCAAACCGGAAGCTTCTTGGGACAGGCCCAGCGCAGCAGCAGGCAGGCCACTTCCATATAGCAAAGCTGGCTGGGACTCACGCTTTCAGAGGCGAGCTGGAAGGAGCAGGCAGCCATAGCCAAGCTGCGCTGCTATAGGCTGGGTGTGGTGCATGGTGGTCCTTCGGTGCATGTGGCATCTGTGTGTTGGGGAACGAGGTTGGAAGTGATGCAAGAATATTGGCCGCTATCTGCTGGTACTTCGGGAGAGCTGTTGTCGTCATCTTCGGCATTATAGTCTAGGTGAGATAGGATCTGCCATCTGTAGTCTGGATGCCGAGCGCCAGATAGGATATCAACATTGGTTCTTCGTTGATGATGATGATGAGACTATTCCAGCGTTGTCAATTATGAGCCTCTGGTGTACTCTTATTTGGTGAAACTCGTGATGCAATTCTGCTTTTGGTTCGAGGTCACTACTATCTGGTCTTATGTGTATGATGCTGTTTGATTGCTGAAGTTCGCTATTGCTCATCTTCCTTGCAGTATGCTGACCTCAGTTTTATTCAGAAAATAAACCAAGTCGACTTCAGCCTCTCTAAACTTTGCTCCTGAATACCTCTCTTGGCCTTTTGGCTAAGATCAAGTGTAGCCGTCATATGAATCCGACCACAGTGCCTGGATCATATGACATTTGGCTGCCACAGTTTACCCAAAAAAAAAAAAAGAAAAAAAAGATCAAGTGTAGTATCTGTTCTGATCAGTTTAATATCTGATCCGTGGTCCATCGGACCAAAAAAAAAAAAAAAAAACTTTGCTGCTGGCGGGTGAAATTGACGTGTTTTCTCTTTATTGGTTTTCATTAATCAGTAGTTTGTTCATCTTTGTTGTGCTGGGCAATGCTGGGCGTCTCTGGCATCCCTTGGCGCTGTGCAAGTCACCAGTGTTGGGGTTGGGGTTGCCTGGCTACAGCATTCCGGGGCCAAGGTCCCGCTTGCACGGATTAGGAGATTTCGGCCGTCGATCTCGGCTATCTACGGTCTCTATCTCTTAATTCGTGCAAGTGGGACCTAGCACCGGAGTGCTCGTTGTATTTCCCGGTGTGAATGGCCTGGGTTTGCAACAAGCAGTGTTGCGCTCGCCTCATCTTCGCCTCTCTCTCTCTCTCTCTCTCTCTCTCTCTCTCTCTCTCTCTCTCTCTCTCTCTCTCTCTCTCTCTCTCTCTCTCTCTCTCTCGCGGGAGTGCTCGTTGTATTCCATGATCGTTCCCGGTTTGAATCATAAGCAGTGTCCCGCTTGCCTCATCCTCACCTCTCTCTCTCATCCTTCTCTCTCTCTCTCTCTCTCTCTCTCTCTCTCTCTCTCTCTCCCCACGTATCACCTTTTCCTCACTCTTGCTGGGTTACTAATGGTGTCTTCGTCGAGTACCCTTGTGCTTGTGGTATCATCTTTTTTTTTCTTTTTTTCTTTTTTCTATAATTTTAGAGAGCGGCCCAAGTGAGTGCTAGGGATGGTATCATCAAGTTGTAGTGAATCCACTTTCCTTCAGTTTGCGTTCTCTTCCTCAGATGTATGACGCATTTAAAATAATTGATTGGTTGGTGTTCCTGCAACATGGAATGGTTGGATGTAATTACTTTGCGTCTTGATTTTTTTTTATTTTTTTTTTCAAAAGGACGACCACCTTGAGATATCATCATTGAACTGACCTGCCCCAGGTAATTCATTTCAGAACCTTTTTTTTTGTTTTTTTTTTTTGGTTGAGAAGTTGTCACTTTAAATTTCAAAACAGAAGTGGTCGAGGCCAGGGACCTCACAACTCTACCCGGTGTTACCAAGGAAAAAACCTGCTGGAAACCAGGTCCAGCGTCCCAAGACCACTCAGCCTCAAAAGGAAGAAAAACTCCTCAAAATAGCCTTGAAGCACAGAAAAGGTGGCTGAACTAATCATGACAAAACTCTCCATTCCTTCAGCCTATAATATAATATCCTTGCTGCGCAGGAGAACGCCGGCATGTTTCTAAGATAGAAACACTATTGGCAAAGTACTACGAATTATAATCTGCAAATCTCAAAAATGCACACAAGGCAATTCACGAAAATTTTACAGTTTTAACCCTAAAATTATTTCCAAGGCAAACTAAGTTCATAGGAACAATTCAATTCCAAGTTTCAAACCAAGTACATACTAAACTTAAACTAGGCATACTAATATTGTCTCCGGGAAATAAACGACTGAAGAGGAAACTACGGCGCAGTCAGGGTTACAGTTTGTAATTGCATTTGAAACTGCGTTTTAGCAGTTTAGTCAGGGCCCGAGTTTCAATTGCAGTTGAAACTGCGTTTTGGCAGTTTGAAACTTGGGCTGGGTTTTTCTAGCAGTTCAGTCAGGCACATGGCCATTTCTTTCTTTCTTGGTTGTTGCTGGTTTTTTTTTTTTTTTTTTTTTTTTTTTCCCTCGGTCGCGTGCCGCAACGCACTTCCGCGGCTGGGAAAAACAAACAAACAAACAAACAAACAAACAAACAAACAAACAAACAAAAAAACAAAAACAAAAAACAAAACAAAAAAAAAACCAGCTCCGTGGTTGGGCCACGGCCGAGATGTCTCGGCCTCACCCCAGACTGGGCACGGCCGAGATGTCTCGGCCACACCCTAGACTGGCCACGGCCGAGATGTCTCGGCCACACCCCAGATTGGCCAGGGCCGAGATGTCTTGGCTACAGCCGAGATTCGCAGGCACTACCCTTCACAGGCAAACGCGAAGTCTCAAGAGTAGCCTACTCCGAAGAAGTGGGGGGCTCGGGGCAGGGATGAAGGCCAAAAAAAAAAAAAAGAAAAAGAAGAAATAAAAAAGTAAAGAAACGAGGAACTTCGAATCCACCTACGTCGGGAACGCCCTCAGGTCAACAGTGCTTTGAGGAATGTATCTGGCCAGGAAGTGAGGAACATGAAACAGGTCGTTTTCCTTTTGTGTTTCTTGTTGTCTGGTCCTTCTAGTGCCCTGCCAGCCAGGCAGGGCGGATTCCACGCGAGGCAGCTAACTGCCTGCCTCTCTTCAGCAAGTACTGTAGCATCCTGTATCCGACCGCAATCACAGCATAAGGGATGTTTTTTTTTTTTTTTATCTGCTGTTCGTGGATAGACGAGGGCCCTGACTGAACTGCATACGGCCGAGTTTCAACTGCAATTGAAACTCGGGCCCTGAATAAACTGCTAAAACGCAGTTTCAAATGCAATTACAAACTGTTTTCGTGACTGTGCCGAAGTTACCCCCAAAAAAACAACCAAACCAAATTCCGAGATTTATCAAACTAGGAAAAAAGGAATCTAGATAACTAAAAGCTGGGAGGGAGAAATAAACATTAGGGTTACCCTCTCAACCTCTCTATCCATAACGCTGTAAAGAGCCTTTGTTGCCTAGGCGGGCTTCCCACCACGCACCCAATGGATACAACTCTAGTTTGCTCTTCACCGGGTCTCTCATATCATCCCTACCCTGTGAGTCTCGCCCCAAACTATTGCAAACGTATCCCAGCGCTTAAGAGTATCTAGAGTCTGTGAATCTCAATCATACGTGAACATTCAACACCAAAGCGGACAATAGACGAGAACATGTGATAAGCTCAGACCCGTACCGCGCGACTTCCCGTATCCCTGAGGAAAAATCCCTAGGAAGCCCCGAGGCACAGATGCGGATAAACAGGGTTTTTTTCTTTCTTTTTGTTTTTGTTTTCTTTTTGAAACGGCTTTTTCATTTTGTTTGGTTAATAACTCCTGCGCGGGTGAATAGCGGCCGCGGTATGAAAACCAAGAAACGGAAGCGGTTGGGACTTTTTGAATTTTTGCTCGCGCCCGCCTAAGCTCCAATTTCTTCGCTTGTCTCGCATCCCCGTTTCTTGCTTTGCATCCCCGCGCCATCTTCCCTTCTTGCTGCACGCATTTTCCCCATGCAGGACTCTTCGTCTTCCCCTCCGCCCAGCTCGATCCTTACTCCGCGAAGTGATTGACCGCGTAGTTGGGATGCTCGGATCAATGTGGAGAGCTGGAAACCGCGCACCACTTGAACGGACACCCCAATCACGCAGGACCATGCCATCCCGCGGGTCGAACCCTCTAACTCCCCACCTCCCTCCTGTCCTGCTCATCTACAACCTGCGCTGCCCGCACCTCGTGCTGACAACCCGCCGCCTCCCGCGCTATAAATTCGCGCAACCCTCTCCTCTCTTCCTCTTTGATCTCGGCTGCAATGCTGCGCGAGCTATGCGCGAAAGTCCGCGGCGCCGAACAGGCTCGACGAGCCCAAGGACGGGCGGAGTGACGACGTGGGGTGGACCCGCGGTAGTCTCGGGGCAACGCAGTCGGAGGGACTGAGCAGTGGTGGGGATTTGACGCCGGCCGCGGCAGGGCCTTGTGGCTATGGTGGCCGGTGGTCTTGGGAGGTTCGAAAGCTGCGCCCGGGGGCCGCAGCTAATTGAATTTTTTGTGTACAAGAAGGACTCACTTTTATCTCCATTGCTGCTTTGTCTATGCATGTCGTGTGTGTGAAGCCCCGAGTGATGGGAGCTGGTTGTGCGCATGAGTGATGTCGAAGGTCTATGGATGATTAGATGTCCTGTCAAGGGTTGTTGGTTGTTTGCATGCATGCGTGTATGTACTTGTCCGGGTGGGGACGGAGAAACTGAACTGGGGGACYGCCTGCCTAGGAGTACGARTGTGTTAATCCCGTTGTTCCCCTCCCTTCCGCGGCCCTTCGCGCACACGCGCGCGTTCTCGGTGTAAGCTCTCTCCCTCTCTCTCCCGCCTTCCTTTTTGAGCTTCTCGTCCCCGTACCGGTGACGTCAACCGCCTGCGTCCGCGCGCGCGGTCTACGCCCCCGCAAGGGGAAGAGAGCTCCGATTTTGCCATCTTCCTCCGACGCGCTAACCTCGAGAAAGAAGGTAGCATCGAGTGTTGTATGGAGTCGATGTTGGTTCGGATGACCGGGAGCGCGGGATCTTGCCCGTGTTCATCGCCTACTTCCGATCGTCTCATCTCGCTACCGACCTTCCCCATCATAGATGACGACAGCGTCTACTGCGATGCGGACGTACGGCGCGAGCTGAGGCGAACGGAACAAGTGTGTTGGCGAGACCGGCCTCGGGCTTGTGATATAAGGGGGAACGGGTTTGTCTTGATCGATCGTTTTGATTCCCCGACTCTAATATTGCCTTATACGGGTTTGACTGTGTTGCCCTGGTCGGCCGCTCACGCCGTGTGGCGGCCGCAGTTTGATTGTCGTTGGTGCCGCCAGGGGGACTCGTGTTCTTGGCGACCATTGGTCCTGGGTTACGAGGGAGCGACATGTTTCCCTGAGCTTCCCGTAGTGCGGGGGCGCTGCCCGCGGAATTTCGAATTCGGATGCCGGCGAGTCCTCCCGCCGCTTTACCCTCCCGGAACCTTCCGCGCGGACTCTGTGAGTCCGACGCTGAGGCTTGAAGGCCTCGAACCAACCACCTCTACACCAAGAACCCGATGGTTCGGTCACTTCGTGAGGCCGATGACGAGGCTTGAAGGCTTCGAACCCACCACCTATCCTCCAAACCCATGACGACCGAATGAGGACGGCAGTTCGTTTTCGCGAAAACCCTTTTCATTTTATCGTTTCGGAGCGATCCGACCCCCACGGGACTTCGCGACGACAGTTCGACTCCGGGGTAACCTTTGGCATGAAACGAGAGCCTCCCGTTCCGTTCGGGAGACTCAACCCCTACGGCCAAAAATCCTCGGCCACGCCCCTCCTAGAACTCTGATCGGCGACCCAGGACGGGAAGCCGCAAGGGGGCGTGAGGTTGGTATTAGAGCTGATTCGTTTCGGCTCCGAGGTTTTCTTAAGACGAATACCCGGCTTAAGAGTTTTCGTTTTTTCTGATCTTTCTTTTTAGATTTTTCTGATTTTTGAGTAGGCTGGCTCCCCGTCGCCGGCGGCCCGCGAATAGCAATCAGAACAGAGCGAGAGGCCGGGCTCGAAACCCGCCTCCCGCGATGGTGGAACCCGGAATTGGGGGTGAAAACGACGGGGATAACCACGCGGGGATGGCCAATCATCCCCTGTACTTTGTACCTCCTCCTCCTGAAGTTCCCATTTTCTCCGAAGATGATACCGACCCTCGCACCTGGTTAGCTGCCTTGAAAGCCTAGGGCTGGTCGGACCGGTTGCTCCGAGAACGAATCCCCGGAAGGTTAGCCGGAACCGCTTTTGAGTGGTATGGACATAACCCCTTCACTAATTGGCTAGCCTTCCAGAGGAAGTTTCTCGACAGATTTGATCACATCGCACTAGGTCAATGCCTCCGTCTAATAAAGGAATACACGCAGCAGCCTCGGGAGACCTTGGCTAGATATGCTGAACGTTTTACGTACCTAGCCGAACGCTCCGGGGTGGACAAGAAAATGGTACGGACTGATTTTGTCAAAGGATTGTCAGATTCTCGTCTGCGAAAAAAAATCCGCAAGAAATGCAACCCTATAGAACATACCCTGACGGAGCTAATTCAGTACGCAATTAAGTACGGGAAAGAAAATTACGATGTGGGCCTGGACTCAGAATCCGACGAGGATGACCCTTCGGGGGTTCGACGCAATAGCTACTCCGCTACGGCACGAATGTTCGAAAATCGCTTCGGGTTGGGTCCAACAAAAAAAGGCTTGGATCGGAAAGCTTCTTCCTTTGCTTCGACCTCCCGTCGCTCTAGTCAAGCACAAGGAGGCCGGGGTGAGGAAGAAGTGTCCATGAAAGAGGTCGCGGCCCAATTAGTTACGGTAGTGGCCCCACTGACGGAGTTTGTTCAGGGCCTGCAGCGGCAACGCCTAGCCGCCGCACAACGACAACAAGCGGCTATGGCCGCCGGGGCCCCTATGATAAGACCGACCGTGGCCGGGGCTGTCCCGCCCCTACGCTGTTATAATTGTAATCAGCCAGGTCACCTTGCGAAAGATTGTCCGAAATCTCGAACTCAGGGCGGGCCCGCCAGTCCTTCCCAAATCCCGTTGGCTGCTCCAACCGGTGCAGGACAGGGGAGGGTGGCCACGGTGATGGATACCGGGGCAACGGAAATGGTGACCCCTGCGGCCACCGAGATAGGGCCCGATGAATACATGGCTGCGGCGATGTTCGAACCCGGGACCATCGGAGTGATACGTCACGTCCAACGGATTACCAAGGAAAGCGACCTCGGGCCGTGGCGACCAGGGTTCGAAGACCTTGCGGCACCTGGTCCTGAATACAAGGATGGCCATATCGACGTATTGGATGCCTTGAAGGCTCTGGATCTTCGGATCCCCGTCCCTATTCCCTATCAGCTAACCATTTCCGAAGCAGCTAACGAAAAGTTGATCGAACGATGCCTCAAAAACAGGCGCCGATTCGAAGAAAGCCGAAAGGGCAAAAAGCCGGTCCTACGGGACCTACCCACAAACGAGGAGTCACAGCCCTCGACCTCAAAGGTACACGAAGCCGACCGGATAGGAATGATCCAAACCGTAGACTCTGCCTCGGAAAAAACCGAGGTATTCCTCCGAGCCTATCCTATAACCTGGAAAAGCGTTGAGTGTGACTGCGAGGTCTGGGGAAATCCCTCGGGCGCCATCCTAGATTCGGGATCGTCAGCTGTCGCCATTTCTTGGAGATTGACTAAGCAGTTGGGAAGGGAAGGACAGGTTCAGCCCCTCCGACCGGATGAACTGTATATATCCGCTACGGAAGACAGTATTCATTGTAAAGGGCGAATAACGAACGTGCCTATACGGGTGGGGCGGGTGCATTGTTTGTGCGACCTGATCGTGCTGGATGTACAGGCGTACGATGTTCTGCTAGGCATTCCGTGGCAGGCGGCGGTCGGAGCGCGAATGCACTTTGACAGTTGTAAGGTGGTGCTCACATCGGCCCACCCCAAACCCCAAACGATACCAATGAGACGGGCGGTGCGCATGCGTACCCAGCCGGCACCTCGACTCACCACGAAATCCCATCAAATCAACATGATCCGACGCCTGTCACCAGACGAAAATGAACCCTTGACGGAAACTGACGAGACTGATGTACCCGACCGATATCCGATCCGAGTTCAGGATCGGTGGCGCCATTCTTGGCGGCGAGAACCACTGGAAATAGTTCGGAGCGAGTCCAATTGGTCGCACGCGTTCTCCTCCGTGGTGCAGGGGGAACCCCTGCTGAGGGTGTCCCAAATAACTGACCTTTCGGAACCCTCTGCGTCCTTGTATCTCAGGACGGACCCCCTACCTGAAAGATTTACCGAGCTTAGGGGGCTGTGCGATTTATTTTTTCGACCTCCACGGCTCCTACTCACGAATGAAAAAGCCGCGATACTCCTGAAAGAGGGGGTGTCGTTTCAACCCCGAACAAGGGAATATCGGTGGTGACCGAGGGAACTGACGCAGGCCTTTTTGGTAGAACCCTCAGCCAAACCCGAACTGGATAGTGACAGTGACATAGAAAGCGAGCCGGTGAGTCCGGCGGACAGTCAACTTATTGCGACTGTCCGTTCGGCAAAAAACGACAACTCTTTGTTTGGGGCCTCGCCCGATGCCAGCGAGGCGGTCCCCATGGTTACGACGACGGTCTCCCTTCCTGGGGGAACCGTAGAAGTTCAGTTACCAGCCCGTGTTCCGGATGAATACGGATGCCTCCTCCTGGCGGTTATACGGGCCTATCCTGAGGCCGTCAGTATTCAGGACCACGACATAGGGCTAACCCCTTTGATACAGCACGCGATTGATATCGGGGATCACGCCCCGATACATTGTCGACCGTACCGATATTCCCTTAAAGAAAGACAGATGGCATTGGAAAGGGTACGGGAATTCGAGCGGTTGGGGTGGGTCGAACCATCGCTGGGACCGTGGTCTTTTCTCGTGCTCCTCGTGCCAAAACGAAATGGTTCGGTCCGGGTATGTATCGATCACCGGAAATTGAACGCTATCACTACCAAAGATGTGTATCCCTTGCCGCGAATCGACGATTTGTTAGATGCTATTGGGGCCGCGCGAGTCTTTTCCAAGTTCGATATCCAACACGGTTTTCACCATATCGCAGTCCGACCGGAGGACCGACCCAAAACCGCTTTTGTCCTATTTGAGGGCACGTGGCAATGGGTCCGGTGTCCCATGGGAATTTGTAACGCCCCTGCAACGTTTCAGCGGGCCATGAATATGGCCTTCGCTGAGTTCATTAACAAAACCCGACTAATCCAGCCCCTGATCAATTTCTGCGTGATTATGTACATGGATGATATTTTGGTCTTTTCAAAAACACACGAGTACCACGTGGAACACATTGAGTGGGTTTTGCATGCACTAAAGGATGCGGGGTTCAAAGTGGCCTTGGAGAAAAGCGAGTTCTTCTTGTCGGAGATCTCATTCTTGGGGTACATCGTCACAGTTGATGGACTAACTGAGGAAGGTGGCAGCAGTTCAAGAAGCCCCGGCGCCGGTCACACTCACCCAGGTTCGGGCTTTTCTAGGGCTGGCATCCTATTACCGACGCTTCATCAAGGGGTTCGCCAGTATAGCGAAGCCCCTCACGAACCTGCTGAAGAAAGAGGAACAGCTGATCTGGACACCGGAATGCGAAGCGGCGTCTCAGGGGTTGAAGGAGGCCTTGACATCTGCTCCTGTGTTGGCGCGTCCCGACCCGACAAGACCGTTCACACTGTACACCGACTTGCAGCCTCAGGCGATATCGGCGGTGCTGACTCAGCAYGGGGCGGACGGAAWGGAACACGTCATTGAGTATGCGTCCAAGACGCTGAGCCAGGCGCAGGCTAATTACGAAGCGTGCAAAGGCGAATGCCTGGCGGTGGTGTGGGGGATTCAGCATTTCCGACCGTATCTTTACGGCCAGAAATTCGTGCTGGTAACGGATCATCAGCCGCTGCTGTCCCTACGCAATAACACGGACTACACGGGGACGCTGGGCAGGTGGGCGGTGCCTCTGCAAGACTATGACTTCGACATCCGCCATCGTGTCACGCGGCAGCATGGTAACGCCGATGGATTGACGCGCCTCCTGCCGCCCAACAAGTGTCCAGCCAACGAGCGACTCATTCTACCCTGTTTTCCTGAACACCATTTCCCTTACCCAGTAGAACATCAATAGAAGTTCCCAGTTCCCTGAACTCTGTTCCCCCTTAACCTATAGCGAACCATGCAGTCCCCTTAGTTCATCAGTAGGACAACCCTGCTCCCTATCTTCCCTTTAGTTCATTTGTAGGACTACCCTGTTCCTTGCAACCCCCCCTAGTTCATCAGTAGGATAACCCTGTTCACCGGTACCAAACCCTGTTTCCTCTTACTCCCGCAGCCCATGCCACCCACATTATACCCCTCTTCCCTTTCGACTTGTTAACCAGTGATCAACCCCGTCCCGTCCTTCACAGATTTCAGCATTGCTTCATGATTTTGGGCAGCCGGGACGTTGCCTTCTAGAGGGAGGGGATAGTGTTACGGACTTC